GAACCTGATGGAACAGTAATCAACAGTTTCCTATAGTTGTTAAATAAAAATGACATACTGAACTTAATATCATTTTCTAAAACAATTTACCATCATTCAGCCTCAGCAGTTTGTGTGGTAAATTTCCTTTCAATGACTCAGCATGTTTTGCCTTTAAACATACAGCCAGTACAATCCTGCAAAAATAAAAAAATAAAAAAATAAAAAACAGTATATTTTTGCAAAGCAAGAGCTCAAAATAGCTTTCATTTTTGAACTGAAAAAACCTTTTTGAGTGGATGAAAAAAGAAGAAAGAAAGGAATAGAATAGGAATGTTTTTGATTTCCAATGCCAAGCCATTTCTGTGCTGCTTGTTCACTGCACCACATGGTTCCAACCCCAAAAATACTCCATCATCCCACTTGTTATGGACAATGCTTTTCACCAAAGTGCATTGATTCAGACAGGAGGTAGTGTCCTTTTTTCCTTTTTTTCATGCACTCTTACAGTGCATGTAATGCACTAATTTTGATCAATATGTCACGCTTATAACATTTTGGCAAAGGTTATATAAAATGTTGTCATGTTTTACTCACAATACAATAGTTTCTTCACAACTACTTTGCTTGWACAATGTTTTAAACAACCTCCCCCCAAAGAAAATAAAACATGAAAAACATATTTAATCTCAAAATGTCCAATGGGGTTCTTAACTGTAGATAATTATTATAATTATTATGTTTACCCAGAACATCTTTTGTTTAGCAATGTGATAATACTCATGACTCACAAAACAATCTCCAACCCACCCTACCACTGCAAAAAAAAAATAAACTAAAATAAAATAAAATATGGCCTAACTTTCATTGCTGCAGTACAAGACAAACACTATTATTGGCTAATGAACAGAGTGTGCCACTGGAAGTAAGCACACAATGTAGGATTTACTCTCAACACATGTCAAGAACACATCAACGTGAGGTTGCAGGGATTCACACAGTAAATGTGCCAAAGGTTGTGGAGATAACTAAACCTCTGGCTCAACTCCAAGTGATTTTTATGGTGCTAGAGCAATCAGGAGCAAATAATAACTGTAGTGTTAAGGTGCAGCATGTTCTGATGACAGGGTCTTCGGTAATATCTAAAAGTACTCTCTTGGCAAGTAAATTGGAAGCCATTACTGCATAAACTGCGATTTGAATATAAAATCAATGACTTCAACTTTTTCCTCTATGCGAATGCAATCAGACACTGCCATTTTTTGAAGCCGCTGGCAACTTTAAGTACATAGTGTATTTTTTTAGATACTTTTTATGAACATAGAAATTATTTAAATACTTTTTACAAAAATAATTTCATTGTTCTCTTTATGAACAGGTAATAAGTGCATCATAARGAGGCTGGAAGGATACTCACTAAAATGTCAAGTCAAGTAGTCATCTGGTCAAACCACAGTTATGTGTGTTATTGATATATGTATTGTTTTATTTTGCACCTACTTATATACAATTGTCAATGATGATTTTCAGTACAGTTCATAAAACATCAGTTAATGTAATAAAAAATAAAACATGTTAATAATGTGTTTTTATATAATGTAATGGTAGTTGTAGTGGTTTAATATAGTGTTTTTTGATATTGTGTATGTTTGAATATTGATTTTAAGATTAAAAATAAGTAAGGGGTCTGAGGTGTAGGAGAACAAAGACGAGAACTTTGTGCAAAAGATAAATGTTGAACAACATGCATTCTGCCTTTTTCACACTAAAAATAATGCAAATTATAAAATTTATGTAGTTAGTGATTCAGGAAATTATTGTCTGCCCAACTAATATTTATTCTTAGGATCTACTATTTGTTAATTTTTTCATTTAATTTACCCATTATTATTATTATTATTATTATTATTGTAGTTTTACAAATAAATAGATAAATAAAAGTTCCTTGTTTTTTGATTAGAGGAAAAATGCAAAAAAAAATAAAAATAAAAAATAAAAAAATTAAAATAAAACAATTGTAGCGTATCAGTGTTAGTGTGCTAGGGCCTTTTTCACACTTCAGACTTCTAAGGGCTCATTTATAATGCATTTTTTTTTACAACTGCAGTTTTTTATTGATTATTTAGAAATCTCTGAGAGGTCTGGCACCAAATTATTTATCAGATATTTTACTGCCCCATGTTCACTCCTTTCCTGCTCCGTGGGATCCTTGAATACATTGTGCTTTGTTCTCCCAASGTATCAAGTTGCAATATGAAGGCAACAGGGTTTTTGAAGCGAGCCTACCAGATTTTGTAATGACCTGCCTAAGGAGATCAAAACTGGAACCTCTGTTTCTACCTTTGTTGAACATTTTAACAGATTTTTTTCTTCTTTGTAATCTTGATTTTATTTGGCATTTATGACTTTAGATGGTGTTTTGTTTGTCTCTGTGTGTGCCTGCATGTGTTTTCTTTCTACAAAGTACTTCACATATTATATTTTTCCTAAACACATCTACATGCAATATGTTTAATAGTAAATTTAAAACACTTTATTTGCTATTTTTATTATGTATTAAGCAAAAATCCCACAACAAAACACGTTTTCACATTTTTTTGTTGGTTTTCTTTTAGCAAATATAAAAGCTCTTGTTTAGTTCTTAGTGTACTAACACAATATTTTACTCAAATTAAATATTTTTATGTGACTTTTTGCAATCTGTAAATGACCCTGGTTTGGTTCCTCCTCAACATGATCGCACACTTACTTTTTAGACAGAGTTTATAYTATAAGTGCTGACAAGGGTATCACAAAATATGTGATAACCTTGTCAGTAACACAAATGTGGGTATTTTTCTGGTGATGGTCAAAGGTTTCTGGCAGATATTTTGCAAGATATTCACAAAAACACAATAAGAAACTTGATCTTTCCGGGTTGTGTGATAGGATCAAAAATAGTATTATAAAATCACATTGTTGCATTTACAGTCAGGCTTTACATKTTAAATCAATATAGATGCTTCAACAATATCAAGACTGAAGCACATTTATTTTCTGAATGGAGACCAAACCATATGGGTAAATATCTTTTCTCATTGGAAAGTGTCTTTTTGCACCTTTCCTAAGTGGTTTTATTAAGCATCTGTTACCATCTYACTATCTTCCATTCACTGGTAGAAACCAAAAGAATGTGCCAAAAGATAGAAACATGGTTAATTCACTCATGTGACAAGTTTAGCTTTTCTTGTAAAATGTTTTAATGGGGAAAAAAATGCCAGATGGGTTTGTTTATTAACCAGCCTGAAGTGTCAGGTTGTTATTGGAAACACTTAATATTATTTTTTTACACAATGGTTTGAAAACTGATCTATATTGAGGCAGCACATCTAATATAATCAGTCTCATGCTCATGTTTGTTCTATCTGTTACACTTATGCATTTTATTAAAAAAAGCTCAGCATACAGTTAAAAGGCTAAATTCTCCTGAGGGAAAGAATATGGCTTGTCRCTTTTCATGCCTGTTTTATACTAAGATCTTTTTTTTTTTTTTTAGCTGAGCAAAACCAGTTATAGCTGCTTTGACCAAACCTCATAAATTAAATGAATGTTTTTAGAAAATTTCCTAAAGGTTTCCTGGTTATCCATATGCTGATTCGTGTGATGTTTTTGAAACAAAGAAACAAAGTTGACTTCAAATAATTAGTGTCAACATTTTAAACAAGTATTTTGTTCTGTTTCAGCTGCTACCACACTMAACTTTAGGTTTAAAGGTACAACCATTTTTGTCTTCACTAAGGTCCTTTGGTTGTGGCAACCATCTTGAATGGGATTGACTTCAAAGTTAAGCAGTTGTAGATACCCAATGACTGTTTTCTTAAATCTGTCCTCTGGCACATGGGACCTTTTCCTAACAGATTCAGATTTAAACTTCCAAACATTGGCAAAAARCAGACAACAATGAAGTGGTTGGCTTACACCAGATAAGTTTATTGCAACTCCAATGTCTGAAATTCAACTTTAAGAATCAATATTTYGATGATTTATACGCATACTGAGTCTCATACTTAAAAAAAGTAAAATTATAAATTCATCTTGTGAAACTGACGCATTAATTTTAACAGCAATATGATAAAAGAATGTGGGGGAGGGGGGCGTTACCTTATCAGTATGCCATCAGTTTATCATGTATTTAACTGAAAGATTAAGCTCATCAATTTTTTCTCGCTCTTTTATGATGTGTTATTCTCTAATAAACCGTGAAGAGAGAAGCACTTTATGCATACAGTAGCACTTGATAGCACACTGTTGTTTCATGGCCAGGGGGCAGAAATCTAAAATGCTCTAACTGATAAAAAAATCTTTTTATCGGTGACATAGAAGTGCCAGCTGGGTATTTTTCTTCACAGTGAAACACGAGGAAATGTATCATTTTAATGACAAAATGTCAAAATTGAGTATTTGCCTTTATTTTTTCATTGAACAGAATGTGGCTCTTACAAATAGTAATCTATTCTTTGTGCGAGTTGCCCAAATCAGGCATGAATAAGTTCAACCACAATGTCAGTAGATAAAAGTTTCCCCCAGCTGTAATTGACACCATTGCGTATAGGGAGAGAGTGTTCTTCCACATTAGTGGCTATAGAGTGTCATAACACATCATCAGGCAGCCTTCTAACCTTGTCAGGGCTTATCATGACATGAATTACAAACAGACAGCCAGATAGCTGAGGGTGTACCTCACACTGATCTGCAAAAGAAAAGCTCTCTTTGTTTGCGGAGGCACAATCTGTGCCGTTTTCTGAAAACTCCTGGGAGAGAGAGAACGAGAGAGAGAGAGAGAGAAAGTGATGAATATAATAAAATACTTGTCACAGTAAAGTGACAGTGTCAAGGGTCTGAGCTTCTTTGTCCTGTACATGACAAATTAACCCAACTCTGACTTTCTTGTTTTGCTAAAATTATCTGTCATATAACAGCTGTCTTTTTGTGCATCTTTACCCTTTCCCCCCTCTTTTCCCCCTCCTTTTCTTTCTCATCAGGTCTCCACATAATGGAGCGAGAATGAACAGAGAGCGGCTTAAGAAAAAGCATGAACTGGAGGTTTATTGAGGTCATCTGCTTCCTGTTTATATGGGACCATATAACAGTTCAGTCTTCCCGCCAGGACCTGTTGGCTGCTGAGCAACATGTCGCCAAGCAGTATGACTGGCTCATCTCGGACCGCGGACCTTTCCACCACTCTCGGAGCTATCTGTCCTTTGTGGAAAGATTCCGCCAAGGATTTACGACCAGATATAAAATTTATAGGTGAGTTCACTTTTAGCTTGTGTTGCTTGATGTCTTCTCATGCTTTTTGGGGAGAGTGTGGATTCTAATGGATTTTCTATTTTCAGATATTAAGTTGCAAAAAGCTGAACTGTGTATGGTTTTAACCTCACACACACACACACACACACGCACGCACGCACGCACACACACACACACACACACACACACCTAAATGTGGATGCAGTGTGTCTCAATGGATTATTTGCAGTTCATTAGCAATAAAATAAAAAAAGTCATTGCCTTCCTTTACTGTTTATCTTGACTTTGGTAATCCTAATCTTCTGCTGCATTAAAATAATACAAAAATAAAATAAAAAAACACCAAGTACACTTTATAAACAATAAAATCTACTGTTCAGATTTTGAATATGTTGAATTACATACTGTTTAATGAATCAATCGTGTTTATTTAATGTGACTTGTTTTTGAAAACAGCCAGCTGACCAATTTTTCAAGATATTTTAATTGCCAAAGTAAAAGCAACAGGTGTAATGAGTGACATCAAACAAGCTAAGYTTTTTTTCTTAATGAACCATCACAGCATCCCCTAACTGGAATGCTTCTACAAAAAAATACATCAATGATTTTACTGCAAACTGTTTGAAAAAAMCTTTTTTGGATCAGTTTTCCTGCTTTGAAATAACTAACTTTGCATGATTGTGACAGAGACTAATGGCATTTTTAATAAGATATATTGTCTAATCATTACAAGACAAAGTTAATCTGTTCAGGATTAGCCCTTCTGTCCTTGGAATACACATCTTCATCTATGCACTTATGCTCAAAGGGGGACTGTTTCAAAAATATATCATGTGAATTTGTTCTTCAATGACACCTTTAGACATTACCTATCATTAAATTTACAATCTAAATTTGTGACTTGGACATATGACTGTCAGCAAAATAATAAAATGGAAGAATTAATTGTTCACGGCCTCCATAATCTCTAATGTCATAACAGCTATGTAGACAGACTAGTACAGACAAATGTCTGAGAAAAAAAAAGGTTGATGGTTTAGAGACAAAAATAAAAGTGCAGTCAACAGGTATATATAATACAAAAAAAGAAAGAAAAAGAAAATAAAATGTTGTATGACAATATTACAAACATGTATTATTGTATCCCAGGACTGAAACAGGAACAAGACAAGACTTGAGGAGTCGGGACTTAACACGAACATCTGACAAATGCTGATAGAAAACAAGGGGATTGTTGGGAGTGGTGATAACTAAATGAGAACATCTGGAAGAAACTAAGGTGATGAGGAAACCATAGTTATGAGAAAAAAACATGGCACCGAAGAAAACGAGACAAGGAAGATGGGCAAAATCTACTAAACAAATGGCAACATGGCATAAATGACACATGAAATGAAAGCAAACTGCACACTTCTTACTGTTCTAATCTTGTATCCTACATGTTCTCAAAAGTCTTAGTTCTGGAATTCAGAGCCAGAAGGATGAACTTGAAAGGAATTGTTTGCAATGAGGATCCAAATCAGGTGCAGGAAGCTGGTCCAGTACTCAGCCTTGAATGTTTATTCCCACACAATTCGCTGTGGTCCATCCCATCCAAGTGGACAAAATGACATCCATCAAAACTTATTACAATGTTTTTATAGAACATGGTCACATTCCGGATATGGTGTCATAATAAACAAAAGAGTAGTCTTGAAACAGTTCCACATTGCTGAAATGTTAAACATTAGGTTTTTATACTGTTGGAATAAAGCACATGTTGTAGTTTCTCTTATTGTTTGAAGTAAAATTTTGCAATCAATCACAAAGTATAAAATACATAACTGTATCTAAAATGTTGTTAATCAACCACAAAACATCCAACAAACTAAAAATGTAGAACATAGTCTTTTCAGCTCTGATAACTGACTTCCCAAGTGAATGTAACTGCACAAGTCATAATAAGTTGTTTCTTAAATATCATATACATTCATTTATTTAAATTCAAATGTGTAAAATGTGTGCAAACCATCCATCTATTCATGCATCCATTTTCTTCCACTTATCTGGGATTGGGTCACGGGGTCAGCAGCCTAAGCAGAGAGACCCAGACTTCCCTCTCCCCAGCCATTTGGGCCAGCTCCTCTGGGGGAATCCCAAGGCATTCCCAGGTCAGCTGAGAAACATAGTCCCTCCACCATGTCCTGGTTCTTTCTCTGGGTCTCCTCCCAGTTGGACATGCCTGGAACACCTCACCAGGGAGGCATCCAGGAGGCATCCCAACCAGATGCCCCAGCCACCTCACCTGGCTCCTCTCGATGTGGAGGAGCAGCGGCTCTACTCTGAGTCCCTCCCGGATGATCAAACTTCTCAYCCTGTCTCTATGGGAGAGCCCAGATACCCTGTGGAGGAAACATATTTCGGCCGCTTGTATCCGCAAGCTCATTATTTCGCTCACTACCCAAAGCTCACATGTACACATGTAAACTGGTTGAGCAAACTCCCATGCACCCACCAGRACCCTGCTGAGGGTGGAGGGCTGGTCCAATGYTCCATRACCAGGACAAAATCCACACTGCTTTTTCTGAATCCAAGGTTCAGCTATCCGACATACCCTCCTCTCCAGGACCCTGAATTGACCTTACCAGGGARCTTCAGAAGTGTGATCCCCCTGAAGTTGGAACACACTCTAAASTCTCCCTTTTTAAATAGGGGGACCCCACCCCGGTTTGCTAATCCAGGGGAACGGGCCCTGATTTTCTTGCAATATTGTCGAGTCGCATCAACCAACRCATTCAGAGCCTTTAGGAACTTTGGGCGAATCTCATCCATCCCCGGCGCCTTACCACCGAGGAACTTTTTTAACCACCTTGATGACCTCAGCACTAGAGATTGAACAGCCCAAACCAGGGTCCCCAGGCTCTGCTTCCACATTGGAAGACGTGCTGGTGGGATTGAGGAGGTCTTAAAAGTTTTCTGCCCACCGGATTCAGAAACCGACTAAAAGCCCCTTTCCCTTGGAACAATGTACTCTGATACCCTTTCATCCTTCTGCAGTCTAACTCTGAATTACAGAAAGGCAGAAGCAAAGTAAGACTGTCATTTACCACATGCGTTAACAGTACTTTTGCAGAGTTTGTTCCCATTCTTCCCTCCATCTTTCTTGGTAACTTGCCACAGCCCTCGGTCCCCACTGGCTTTCATGCCTTGATACTGTCGTATGAATAGTAAACAATGCATTTGCATATTGTGTAACTTGACAAAGGAGGATGTTTCACAGAGGCAAGAGTCTCAGAGGCAAATCTTCAGAAGCTGCCTTTCACCAACACTGTACAGCTCTTGAGTTCTTTGTGTGATGCTGCAGTGATTTATCAAAACAGAGCATGTGTTTTTCTGTTAGGTGCTGCTGGGATTTTTCCTGGGCTGAGTTGTCTTCAGTCGTGCCTTACACTTAACAAACCATTAGTGACATCAAATTCAGCCTTCAATGTTTGATACATTATTCCTTGTAAGAACTACATAGTTATATCATGGACAGAGAAGGAACATTTTGTTATTTCTTCTTGTTAAAAAATAAACCAGCGAATGATCTGCACATCTAGTAAGCAATAAATAAATAAATAAATAAATAAAT